CTACTATGTAATGATTGTCACGGTGTTTTATTCCCAGGAAAACAGGTTTGTACTGAATGCAAGACTACTTCCGAGGAAGCAACAACTATAGCCAAGTTAAAATAAAAGAATGCAATGGTGGTTGAAATATTTAATCCAATAACCTAACTGGAGTTCTAGGAATGAAATAAAGCACAACCAAATCTGCAATAATTGTTTTCTTCTGTTAGTTAATCCTTTATCCCTCTTATTACTGTGCTGCTACAGTTATCTTTTATATACTTATCTTTTATATTCTTATGTACAGATTGCATATCTGATGGTTAACAAAAAAGAACCCAAAATAAAAATGATTCAGTACAGAAACGGAAAAGTCAGGGTTACAGTAGAATAGCTATGATAACATTACTTAGCAAAACAATCTCTTGACCTAATAGTATTTTAAGCATATAATGTAATAAACAATACTCAAGAATGTTTAAAAATTGTTTTTTTACACTAGTCACTATTTACACAGCTTTTAGTAGATGGCACTATTTATTTATTTAGACATAACATCATAGTAAGATCAGTTATCAAGCCTTCTAAGTGTGTGAAACCTATCTTCAACCAGAAATACCAATTCTTGCCCCTTGCTTGGTAAGATTTTGCAGAACATTAGGCTGATACAACCTTTCACTGCCCTTGCTTTCAAAACCGATGCACTGAAAACTCCAGCACAAATTACTAGATCGACAAATTTGCTTCAGCGAAATCACTGCCATCCAAGGTTGCTTTTGAAGGCTACAGCTGCCAATAAAAGAAAGTCTACTGGTTCTTTGTTTTAGGGGGTGGAGTCTTTACCCTCCTGCTACAGATCTTACTCCTTATTGCAGATGCTTAGAGCCTTCAAAGTCAATAGCAAACACTGCAACTTTAGGGAGTTTAATAGTTATCTTCTCATGATAATCATTCTATATATCTCACATTATAGTTAATTAGTGGGTATACAAAAGTCAGTTGTGCTTTATGCTTGCCCTACTCAACTCTGAAGAAGTACAAAGAGCTGGAGAATTCTTAGTGAAAATAATAGCTCCAGTGAATAATGTTGATGGTCTTCCGTAAAAGTTTGATAAACATGTGTGAATTGCAATAACCAGGTGCTAACCACCTGGTCAAATCTTCAGGATTTTCCCCAAGGAGAGCCAAACTAAGGTAACTGCTCTGCTGTCTCCTCCTAGACTATGAAGACACCAGTGCTTTTTGGAGAACTGTTTGTATGAATTCATATGGCCCAAACTATTTTTCCTTGGTTAATTCCTGAAAACAGCAGGATTATGACAGGATGTTCAAAACTATTCCACCACTGGCAGAAGTCTGAGGGAGACCCCCTCCATGATAACTGTCAATCCAAATAACTCACACGAGTAACTCATAAACAATGAAAACATCCCGGCATAACAGAAAGCGCTGAGCAACCCAAACTACAGGTGTGACAACAGGCTCTGCCTGTGGTATGGTATGATGTCACAGCAATAAAGTGCACTGAACTGCACCTAGAACACCAAAAACAAACCCAATCAAATTTTGTCTCCAAATACAAAACAATATTTTCAAAGGCCTTCGATAATAGCGTTTGTGGGAGCGGAGCCGTGAGCTGGTAGAAAGGACTGCCCTGAAACTGAGTGAATGTGTGCCAGAGGCAACACTGTGTTACAAAGGACTCCACCACAACAAAGTGCTGGAGGAACAGATTTACAAGGAAATAGGAATTAGCTAAATATGTACAGAATATCAGATTGATGATTAAGGAGACATAATAAACCATGAATAAAAACAATAACCACATGCTTTAGAGGCTGGTACGTGAAGATAAAACAAGGAATAATGAAATAAAAATAAAAAATAGACAATCTCAATAAAATTATCTTGACATTGAGATATTAACTTTGTGGAACAGTCTGCTCAACAGAAGGACTGAAGTTGCATTGTCTGAAACCCTTGAAATAAACCTAAACAAAAAGATTAGAAAAGATTAGAAGGCAAGCACTCTGCCATTGACACAAAAAGGCAGGACAGATGAGCCAGCACATCTTCAGACTCCTGCTTTTTTTAAGACTGTTATTTATACACAAGCATGCTCAAAAAATTACATGAAGTAGATATTAAAGACTACACACACCCTTGATCTGGAGAAGAAACTTTAGTTATTATTGATGGAAGTTCAGAATATAGCCTTGGCACAGTTATACAGTCCTAGGTACGATAAATGTGAACAGATAAAATTGAAATAATCCAAAAAAAAGAATCACAATGCCACAAGGCATTTTCCTTAGGTAAGGTATACTCATTACTCTATTTACCCATTGCTATAGTATAGAAGTAATAGTTGGCCACATGTAACAAGAATGTGAGTATTAAAGCACCCAGCAATGCAGTGAATAAGTTTCACATGTTTCATTACCTAGTGAAATTTATAGTCCCAAATAAGATACCTACACTTTCTCCACATGTAGAGAACGAAATATGCTTGAAGTCCAGCCTAAGAGAGGAAAAAACTAGTCAAGCCAGAAGTAAGCAACAAGCAAGAGAAAGATTACTTCTGCATTTTCCAAGTGATCTGAGTTTTTAATGACGGATGACGAGAAGATGCCTTATTTTATGTAGATCACTCCTGTAAATACTCTCTCACAAAACAGAGCTAGAATTGCTGGTGAACTCTTTAATCAGGAAGAAAGTGTGAATGCTAACCCTTCTGGTGCAATGGTTATTTAATAATTTCAAGCAAAGTGATACAGCTACAAAAGATATGACTGAAAAACCCCACAAGCAATAATTGTATGTCCTTTTAAGTCAGTCATTCAAGTGGAAGACGAGATTTCACATACCTCTGGGCAGAGGAATATAAAATACTCTTTAAATCTAGTCATTTAGATCTCATTGCTCAAAAAGGGAGAGGAATGCCTAGCCTGCAGCCATGTATGGGGTCTATCATTTGAGACAGCGGTCCCACCCCTCAAGGGCAGAAGCCTGTTTGGGCCCCGCAGCCAGGGTAGCACTGGTGTTCCTTGGGAATTGTCCTGACAGAGCACAGGTACCAGGGACCTTGTGGGACCTCCACACAGGCACCAGTTAAGCAGGTGCTCTGGAAGTCTCACCTCCAGATTTTGGAGTTCACACCTCACTAACAACACAATGAGGCTCCAGTCTTGAAATGTGTCAAGCAGAGTGCAGACGTGGTGTAAATATGGGACACCCATATTACTGAGCTCTCTCTGCTTCACAGCATCCCTAAGAAAACGAAGGATACCAGTCCAACCTCCCTTTTTGAAATAAATACATCTGCTTAAGAAAACATGCTCAATGTCTTGTACAACCAAAATGACATAATCATGTCACATTCAAGAAGAAAGAAGCACAGGAATATGTCATTACATTTTTTCCTTGTCAAGGTATACACACATATAACCCTTCCCTCTCCCAAATACAAGTCCTTCACTTAACAAAAAGGAGGAAATAAAACAAAAAGGGCTACAGGACCACCACACATCTTATTTCAACTCAATAAACCAAAAAAAGTTGAAACTGTCCCATGGTGGCCCCTAAACCAACCAAAAGCTTGAGGCAGAGACATACTCCTACAGAACTTTTCCTTAAAGTGAGATTTGCAGGACTTCTAATGGGGCTTTGAGTGTCCTATCACTACTATTTTAGTAGAAAATACCTAAAATATGCTACATAAGACAATACAAAAAAAGGGGGGCTGGTAAAGAACTGTAACAGCGAGAATTCTCCCTTCCCTGGTCTACTCCAGTTTCCCAGGGTACAGCTTTTCCTTCAGTCTTGCTCTCAGCCCAGCAGCCTTTCAGGGCCCTCCTTCACGGCACCAATCCCCACGCAGAGCCTGGTCCCTCGGAGAAGTCCTTCCACTGTCTCCGAGCCACAGCTCTACACCTGCGTCCTGTGGTCACCTCCCTGCTGTGACCACCTGCATGTTCCCGCTGACAGCAGAAACCTCTCCACCTGCAAACAGTTGCTGTCTTTCATGGGAGGTGTAGTCTCTCTGTCTGCTGCACAGATAACATCTCCATGATCCTGAGTGTGGCAGCCAAGAAAGGCAACTTGCAGCCTTCCTCCCTCTTTTAATAGTCCAGCTTTTCAAATGAACATATATTAAACAAGATGAAAGCAAAACAAGCTGCAAAACAAGCTACAAACCAAACAAATGTATCTGCCATAGTTCTCAAAAAGCTCATCACACTGGTTCAGAGTCTATCTGATGTAAAATGAAACAATTGTGCTGAATTACTGGAACCACACTTACATCAAAGGGAAGATATAACTAATTAGATGAATTTAACAATCTCTCATAGCATATGCTTCCAACCCAGAAGTAGTTTTTAGATAACCTATAGTAAAAGTTGTATGCTGAACTTTAAATTCCTCAACTACCATAATAGTCTAAAACTAAGTGAAAATTTGTAAGCTATTTTCCTTGTTTGATCGAACTGTTAGCTGCATATCACTTTCACCTGCAGAATATTTCCATTTCTTAGTTTCCTGATCCAGCACTACCTTTAAATAGCAATTTTTCCAACTAATCTTAAATCTCAGTTCATCCAATTCAGTTTTCTTTCTGAACCCGCAGAGATCTTGTTTACTCAATTATAATACAGCTTAAAAAAACCCCAACATAGACTTGCCTGAGTTTCAAGCTTTAAATATTTCAAACCAGCAGCTATATTGCACATTAAGAGATACTTGTTTTCTATATAAACTATTTCTTACTGTTCATTTTTGCAATGCAGGATCTGTACAATGACACTTAAATATCAATATAATTCCTTGGGAGTCTCATCTAGTTCTAACAAGTTAGTATAAGAAGAGACACTTCTGATACACAGTGTACACAGAAAGTCATTGTTTAGAGAGGTAATTAATTTGGATTCCTAGTAACAGCCATTTCTCCTTCCCATCTTTCCTGCACCGCCACCCTCCCAGCACTTTTCTTCAATCAAATCAAACTACCTGATTCTTCATACCTGTATGTTTTGTAAAAGGGACATCTCTTCAGAGGAACCTTAATGACATGTTCCTGAAGGCCCACAAAAAGGACACTCTGGCTGTGCAGGATCTGCAGGCTCCTGATGGGCTCTCGCTGACTTTTTGGCAGGAGTTCAATTTCCTCGAGCAGGCAGCTGCTTGAAGTCTGGTTCATCGGGGCAAGCACTTTCTTAATAGTGCCATAGTCTGCAAAGGCAAGAAGAAAATGAGTTAATAAAAATCATACTAGCAATTCTATCTACTTGGTGTCATTCCGTGAACAAATCTTCGTCCCATGCCAGATCCTTTCAATGAAGACCCAAATGTGGGAGCACTTTGACAGGACTTTACTAAATTGCTTACAGTACAGTGAAAAAAATCTTGGAAACAGCCATTAAACTTTTCCATGTGATGTAATACACCAAACAAATAATTTTCTTAGTGCAGAACAGATGTCAGAGCAGTAGTCACTAGAAAACAAGCTTTCAAATGTTGGCTATTATAAATGCACATTTGCAGCAAGGGTTACTGATTTCAGTGTACCAGATTGTATTATCTTTCACTATGTTTAAAGCAGTTTAAAAAGCAATTAAGTCATTCCTTGCCTCAGTCCGTTTTAATATTCTAAGTGTTAAAAACTGTGGGATTTAGATATGTATTGCATTTGTTTAATAAAGCACATATGCATGAATATCTGCAGGTCTTAACTGAGTCTAGGTGAATATAACAATAAAATGAGGCCGTTTCCCTTCTTCCTACTTTTCTGGATTTTGACCTCTGAAAAATCATATCTTTTAGCATTTGCTCTTCAGTTCCATTCTTATTGTGATTTCTAAGCAAAGACAGTTAAGCATCACAAACTAGGGTCAGATGACCAATGAGATTTCTGATTCACTCGTGCAAAGATTTTAAAATTAATTACCAAAGAACATTTGTTCTGATCACAAAGGATGACATTCTCATACTGATAAATATTGTAGGTAGCTGTCGGACCAAAACTGCATTGTGCAATCTTCCGTGCGCCGGCAATAGTAAATATCAAAGATCCAATGCAGCAAACCCATACTGAGATCAGCTCTTACTCATGTGAAGCTGCGAAAGACTGTAACATCTCTTGTGAGTCGGTAACAATTGCAAGAGTAATGATTGGGATACTTTTTTCTGCAGCCCAGTGAATATAGGTTTTGCCTTCACCAGGACAAGGCCAGAGGCTTGGTGGGCAGCTGTCAGCGCAGGGTCCCAGCATGGGCCTGGCCATGCCTTGGTGGGAGCTGGTTCCAGCCGTGGCAGCGATG